CAAATACACAAATCTGAATGGCTGTTTAAATCATTTAAACACCATTCAGAAACAGAAAGTAGTGCAGCTGCTTTGCTTACAGGGTTTCCGGGGTAACGGCTGCATTTAAATGAATTATTATTATTATTATTTCTGCAGTTTAGCGCCATCTGCTGTCAGAGAGTGAAAGTGCGCTTTCATCCATAGCGTCTCTCACATGTTCCGCCATGTGCTTCTCGTCCGCGCTTGTTTACATCAGAGTGCGCACGCTCTTTCACACAGCATACAGCGGTGTTGTGCATTTTGACCAGTTGATGGGAAAAGTATTCTTAAAATGCATTCAAAATTCTGAATAATTTATAATATATATTTATTCACGGTATTTAGACGTGCCCACGATAACAATATCGTGCATATTCATTACCGTGATATACCGCATTACCGAATACCGGCACAAGTCTAATTGTAACACAGCTGTAACAGCCAAAACATAGCTTTAGCACAGTTGTAAACTTAACTGCAACACAGCCGAAAACATATCCATAATAATTCCTGTAACACATCCATAAACACAGCTGAAACAGTAGCCGTAACCACTATAAACACTGTTGTAACAGTCGTGATGCAGCCAAAACATAACTTTAACACATCTGTAAATGTAGTTATAAAATAGCCATAATACAACCGCAAACATAGCCACAATCATTGTTTTAACAGCTGTAACACAGCCATAAAGAATGCTGTAATAAAGCCTTAACGTAGCCAAAACATAGCTTTAACACAGCTGTAAAATACACATAACAGCCATAAAAATAGTTGTAATAAAGCCTTAACAGCTGTAAACACTGTTGTATCAGTCATAACACAGTCAAAACATGTAGCTGTAAAATAGCCAGAGCCATAAAATTGCCATAACAGCCATGAACAAAGATGTAACAAAGCTGAAACACTGTTGTAACAGACACAGTGCAGGCAAAATATTACTTTAACAAAGCTTTAAACATAGCTTTAATACAGCCATAACAAGTCAAGTCATGTCACCATTATTTATTTAGAGCTTTTTACAATGCAAATTGTGTCAAAGCAGCTTTACAGTATTAAATGGGGAAATAGTGTGTCTTTCTCCTCTGGCCAGACAAACCCAGTTTAAATCTAGGCTGCAGCAGAGTCAGATTGTGCTGTAAACTTAATCAGGACTGCAGCATAGCTATAACAGCCTTAATCTCAGCTGTAACACTGTTACAATACTGTAAAAAAAAAAAGAAAAAAGCTGTAACAGCTGTAAAGTATCCATCATTTCAAGCATGCACAAGGTCAGGATGTTCTTGGAGTGGAAGAGTGGAAGCAAATGCAAGGTTCAGAATGTACACTTATAGACAACCATCATATTACACACAACCGCAAATGTAAACACTGTGTACCTAAATTGCAACCCATTAGCTTTTCAAACAGTAGCTACCTACTATTTCTGAAAGAAAAGTTTGATTTTAGAATTTCAAAAGAGTTTTAGAGATATTTCTGAACAGTAGCAATACTATTAATAAACAATTATAAATGTTAATACCGCAATTTAACGGGTTTTATGTGTGAAAGTGGCTTGAAATTCAGAGCCGGCGTTATGTGGCTGACATGTTAAGAGTGCATGAAATGACCTTGTAGCATGTCTGGAGCAGCAGGAGTCTCCTGCGGATGTCTTCTCTTCTGTCCTCGTCAGGAACAGACAGCAGCACCTCCTCTCCTCTCCTCAGCACCTCCTCAACATGAGCTTTCTCCTCATCCAACTAAAACACAAACACACTCATTTAGGACAAACACATGACACTTTTTAAATTACTGTTTATGTAGACACCCGGTGTCACAAGAGCAGGTGCAACAGCTAATAATTGATGTTTAAAGGAATAGCTCACCCAAAAATGATAATTTGCTGAAAAGTTACTCAACCTCAAACGAGATTGTTTCTTCATGGGAACAGATTTAGAGAAATGTAGCATTGCGTCACTTGCTCACCAAAGGATCCTCTGCAGTGAATGGGTGCCGTCAGAATGAGAGTCCAAACAGCTGATAAAAACATCACAATAATCCACACCACTCCAGTCCATCAGTTAATGTCTTGAGAACTGAAATGCTGCGTGTTTGTAACAAACACATCCATCATTAACTTGAAACCATTGCTTCTGGCCAAAATACGAGTCCATAATCCATAACAACTCTTCCTCCACAGGAAAAAGTCCATCCCATGTTTTCCTCTAACATCAAAATCCACCCACATATTTGTTTACAGCTGTTGTGGCTTGTAAACTGTGTTTGATCTGTACAGATTTCTCCCCTGATTCAGGTGAGATGACTTTTTTGCTGGAGGAAGTGTTATTATAGAGGTCTTATATTTTAGCTGGAAGCAACTGTTTTAAGTTAAAAATCATCCTAATGATGGATTGCTTTCTGACAAAACACACAGCTTTTCACTTCACAAGACATTAACTGATGGACCGGAGTGGTGTGGATTATTGTGATGTTTTTATCAGCTGTTTGGACTCTCATTCTGACGGCACCCATTCACTACAGAGCATCCTTTGCTGAGCAAGTGATGCAATGCTACATTTCTACAAATCTGTTCCCATAAAGAAACAAACACTTTTAAATGTCGGATGGTCTGAGGGTGAGTAAATCTTAAGGAAAAATGTGTCTTTTGATTAACTATTTCTTTAAAAATACAGATATGTAAAAAAAAAAAACAGCCACCTACAAAATGTAATGCCATCTCACTTATTAAATTCTCATCAGGTGTGTGTTTGAGATGTGTGTGTACCCTCTCATCATCAGGCGTGTGTGTTTTCTCCTGCTGCTCCAGGCCTCTGATAGTAGCTTGTAGGTCTGATTCGAACAGCTGCAGCTGTGAAGAGGAGAGAAGAGGAGCAGACCTCCCGTCTGCCGCCTCCTGCTGCGGCCGCACTGCCTCCTGTCTGACCTCCAGACCAGCAGACACCTGAACACAACACACACAGCACTGGCTAATGAGTGTCTCTCCAGCGCCGCGGCTGGAAAACAAGCTCCTCTCAGGCCTGTGCTGAGCCGCTGGAGTCGTACCTGAGCAGAGATGATGTGCTGCGCCACCTTGTGGAAGCTGCAGTTGAGGTCGGCCAGTTTGGGCTCCACCAGCTCTCTGCACACAGTCCCCCTGCTGGTCATCAAGATTACTGCCTGATCACGAGCGCTGTCCACACGCACACTCATACCCTCCAACTCACACAGCACAGCCTGTCAGAGACACACGCAGAGCAGATTCAATGCATGAATGCATCTTAATGCAACCATGTTTCACTAGACTAGGAAAAATGTTTTTTTATTAACTTCTATCAAAATGTAATTACTTTCTCTGCCTCTGAAACTTTCTCTTTGCTGCCGATATAATCTTGGTCATGGGGCAGAGCAAAAATAATATTAACCAACACTATTGTAGCCTAACATTTATGATCCAAACAAATCCTGATGGATCAAATTACATTATTTTTGGTTGAATACTCATTTTCACTGAAAAGACACAAATAACCAAGTCTGTGAGTATGTGTGTGTGCGTTTTCACCTTCATCATTCTCTCTTTCTCGGCTGCAGGCATCTTCTCCATCTCATCCAGTCGTATTTCCGTCTGATAGAGCCATGTGCTGATATGAGCCAAATTCTCATCAAACATCTCCACCTCACGCCGGTGATTCTACAACACACACACACACACACACACACACACACACACACACACAG